TACAGCTACAACTACAACTACAATACACTACAAAACACTACACTACACTACAACTGCAACTGCAACTACAACTACAACTACAAGTACACTAATATTTTTACACCACACTACACTACACTACACTACAGTACACTACACTACACAACACACTACACTACACTACCTTACGCTACAGTACACTACATTACACTAATTGCATTGCACTACACTACACTACACCACACCACACCACACTACACTCAATTACACTACACTACACTAGCCTACCCCACATTGCATTACATTACACTACATTACACTACATTACACTACACTCATTACCGCACCACATATGCAACTGCAACTACACTACGCTACACTAATTACACTAGACAACAACTACAACTCCACTACTACAACTACAGCTACAGCTGCAGTACACCACACTACATCCAGCAGTTGTGGGTGAGGTGACCGACCAGGTGACCACTGCAACCATTGCCGCCACTCCAAGAAACACAGCTCCAACCACCTTTCGGTCCATCAGTGGATTCGCTCTGCCATCCGTGATTCACAACAACCAATCTATCCTATAGGTTTCCTATTTTTGAAACTTCCGCCACCGCCTTGTTCGGTACTACTGGTATGTAATGGTATGTAATGGTATGTAACGGTATGTGATGCAATGGTATGCCGTGGTACGGTATGTAATGGTATGTAATGGTATGTAATGGTATGCAATGGTATGCAATGGCATGAAATGGTATGCAATGGTATGTGATGGTTTGAGACGGTATGTAGCGGTATGTAGCGGTATGTAATGGTATGTAATGGTATGTAGTGGTATGTAACGGTATGTAATTGCAATGGTTTACAATGGTGTGCAATGGTATGCAATGGTTTGTAATCGTTTGTAATGGTATGTAATGGTATGTAACGGTATGTAATGCAATGGTATGCCGTGGTACGGTATGTAATGGTATGTAATGGTATGTAATGGCATGTAATGGTATGTAATGGTATGAACTGGTATGTAATGGTATGTATTGGTATGTATGTGGGTGTGTATGAGGGTATGTATGTGGGTATGTATGTGTGTATGTATGTGTGCATGTATGTATGTGCGTGTATGTATAAATAAATATGTAGTATTATATATATATGTGTGTATGTATGTAGTGTATGTAATGTATGTAATGTATGTAATGTATGTAGTGTATGTAATGTATGTAATGTATGTAATGTATGTAATGTATGTATGTTTGTATGCATGCATGGATGGATGGATGGATGGATGTATGTATGTATGTGATGTAATGTATGTATGTATGTAATGTATTGTAATGTAATGTAATGTGATGTAATGTAATGTAATGTAATGTAATTAATGTAATGTAATGTAATGTAATGTAATGTATGTAATGTCATGTAATGTAATGTAATGCAATGTAATGTAATGTAATGTAATGTTTGTATGTATGTATGTATGTAATGTAATGTAATGTAATGTAATGTTTGTATGTATGTATGTATGGATGTATGTATGTAATGTATGTAATGTATGTAGTGTATGTAATGTATGTAATGTATGTAATGTATGTAATGTATGTAATGTATGTAATGTATGCAATGTATGTAATGTATGTAATGTATGTAATGTATGTAATGTATGTAATGTATGTAATGTATGTAATGTATGTAATGTATGTAATGTATATAATGTATGTAATGTATGTAATGTATGTAATGTATGTAATGTATGTAATGTATGTAATGTATGTAATGTATTTAATGTATGTAATGTATGTAATGTATGTAATGTATGTAATGTATGTAATGTATGTAATGTATGTAATGTATGTAATGTATGTAATGTATGTAATGTATGTAATGTATGTAATGTATGTAATGTATGTAATGTATGTAATGGATGTAATGCATGTAATGCATGTAATGTATGTAATGTATGTAATGTATGTAATGTATGTAATGTATGTAATGTATGTAATGTATGTAATGTATGTAATGTAGGTAATGTAGGTAATGTAGGTAATGTAGGTAATGTAGGTAATGTAGGTAATGTAGGTAATGTAGGTAATGTAGGTAATGTATGTAATGTATGTAATGTATGTAATGTATGTAATGTATGCAATGTATGCAATGTATGCAATGTATGCAATGTATGCAATGTATGCAATGTATGCAATGTATGCAATGTATGCAATGTATGTAATGTATGTAATGTATGTAATGTATGTAATGTATGTAATGTATGTAATGTATGTAATGTATGTAATGTATGTAATGTATGTAATGTAAGTAATGTATGTAATGTATGTAATGTATGTAATGTATGTAATGTTGTATGTATGTATGTATGTATGTATGTATGTATGTATGTATGTATGTATGTATGTATGTATGTATGTATGTATGTATGTATGTATGTATGTATGTAGTATGTATGTATGTATGTATGTATGTATGTATGTATGTATGTATGTATGTATGTATGTATGTATGTATGTATGTATGTATGTATGTATGTATGTAATGTATGTAATGTATGTAATGCATGTAATGTATGTAATGTATGTAGTGTAATGTAATGTATGTAATGTAATGTAATGTATGTTATGTTATGTTATGTTATGTTTTGTTATGTTATGTATGTATGTGTGTGTCTCTGTGTGTGCGTTTGTGTGGGTGTATGCATGTGTGTATGTATGTGTGTATGTATGTGTGTATGTATGTATGTATTTATGTGTGTGTATATGTGTATGTGTGTGTACCATCTGAAGAGATGTAAAACTTCTTATTATCGCATGGGCGTGTGGCACTCATGTCCTACCGCACGCAATGAAGCTGTGGGCATGACTGGGAAGGGAAACGTGGCCGGTTTCCTGTACCTGCAGTACCTGCAGATAAATTTATATATTTATATATGTATAGTCCCGCCCCTTGGCGCATTTAAGTCGCAGCTGGGGGGACGTATGGTATATCGCTGTTGTTTGAAACCGTCAACGTCTACTGTGATTATACATTTATTACATATCTATATATATTTAGGTCCATCTCCTCACGTCATGTTGTTGCGTTGGTGTTTTTTTGCACGTCTGATGCATTCCACAGCAACATTCGCAACGACAGTTCTGATCAAATGTGTGTGTGTATGTGTGTGTTTGTATGTGTGTGTATGCGTGTGTGTGTGTGTTTTATGAATGTGTATGTATGTGTATGTATGTGTATGTAATGTATGTAATGTATGTAATGTATGTAATGTAATGTATATAATGTAACCTAAATGTAATGTAATGTAATGTAAATGTAATGTAAATGTAATGTAATGTAATGTAATGTATTGTAGTGTAAGTATGTAATGTATGTATGGATATATGGATGTATGGATGGATGTATGTATGTGTATGTATGTATGCAAGTAGGTAGGTAGATATGTAATGTATGTAATGTATGTAGTGTATGTAATGAATGTAATGTATGTAATGTATGTATTTTTTGTGAGTCAACGTAATGCAATGCAATGCATTGCAATGCAATGCAATGTAATGTAATGTAATGTATGAATGTAATGTATTAAAGTAATGCAATGTGAGGTATGTATTGTTTTTATTGTAATGTAATGTACTAATGTAATGTAATGTTTTGCAATGCAATGTAATGTTTTGTAGTGTAATGTTTTGTAATGTAATGCTATGTAATCTAATGTTAGGTAATGTAATGTTATGTATGTTGGTTTGTTTGTGTGTATGTATGTATGTAATGTAATGTAATGTAATGTGATGTAAGTATGTATGTATGTATGTATGCATGTATGTATGTATGTATGTATGTAAGGTATGTATGTATGTATGTATGTATGTATGTAATGTATGTAATGTATGTATGTAATGTATGTATGTAATGTATGTATGTATGTAGGTACGTATGTATGTAGGTACGTATGTATGTATGTATGTATGTAACTAATGTAGTTAATGTAATTAATGTAATTAATGTAATTAATGTAATTAATGTAATTAATGTAATTAATGTAATTAATGTAATTAATGTAATTAATATTTGTATGTATGTATGTATGTAATTATTGTTATGTTATGTTATGTCATGTTATGTTATGTTATGTTTTGTTAGTATGTAATGTAATGTAATGTAATGTATGTATGTATGTAATGTATGTAATGTATGTATGTATGTAATGTATGTAATGTATGTAATGTATGTAATGTATGTAATGTATGTAATGTATGTATGTAATGTAATGTAATGTAACGTAACGTAACGTAACGTAATGTAATGTAATGTATGTATGTATGTACGTATGTATGTATGTAATGTAATGTTAGTATGTAGTGTAATGTAATGTAATGTAACGTAATGTAATGTAATGTAACGTAATGTCATGTACTGTAATGTATAGTATGGTATGTATGTATGTATGTTTGTTTGTTTGGTTGTTTGTTTGTTGTTTGTTTGTGTCAGGGGTTGCCTGGTTTGGATTGGGTAGGTTTTGGCGCCAATGTTTTTTCCATGTTTTTGTGGCATAACATGGTCCTACGTGTTTTGGTTGTTTGGTATACGTCGTTGGGTGGCAGTTGGTTCTCCAGAATGGTTGGTACGCATTTAGTAAAGCCGGACGTAATCGAATTGGTAATGTGAGAGAACAACCACTTGGATTCTTGCGTTCCTGTCCTTCAAGACGCCTGCATGAAAACATAAAGCATCAAACCCAGACCCAGTCTTAGCCAGGAATGGGAAGATTCCCGTCTGAAAATTCCCAAACATTTCTTGCTCGATCGATGGATGCACCTAAGTTGCCAGATTCGAAGACCGGGTTGTTTGTGTAGTGGAAAAATGATTGCAATGATGTGGGGCGATCCTTTTTCCAATTTTAAGTTCAGAAATTGAGACTAAAAAGGTCGCGCCATGTATTCTCTCAATACACATCTTTTCTTGCCCAATCAACTAGTTTTCGTCCCTTTTCCTTTGGCCTCAAGATGCAGGCCGGTGGCTCCATCAATTTGTTGAGCGCGCTCAAAGCCGGTGCAGAACAAAAACTTGCAAAGTTGGGATCCTGAAAAGCGAAGTTGGCCAGAGTGCCCAAAGCGGGCAGGGAATCCGTGACAAGACTGTTCGGCGGAGTCTTCATTCAAAGCAGAATTCAGTGATACTTCTGATACTTTGACGATCCTGTGCTGTTTGCACTTGAACAAATCTTGAACATGTTTCCAACGCATCAGTCTCTGTGTTCAGCAGGCAGCTGAGTGATCCGAGTGCAGATAGGACCTGTGTGGTCCAGCAGCTTGTGAAAGCTTTAGGACAGTCTCATGCAGATGGGTTAGGTGTGACAAGAAGTGTCTGACTATGTTTGAGATAAACTTGAATGACCAATAGACTGGTGGATGGGAACACACTGCGGGGTGGTGTCGGGGTCCCAGCAGCTTCTGACGAAACCAGAGCTGCAATTCGATAGCTGGAAGATGTCCATCACGGGCGGATGGCAAAAGCAAACCTTACACTGCTGCAGCGCCTCATGGAGATGGCTCTTTTCATCGCTATCCAATATTGGAAACGCACGGTGAAACATTATACAATTTATATATACATATATTACCCCAAGCTGAGATGCTGAGGCAACATTTTTCCCTGTTCTGATCAGAAAGACATCTGCAACTGCACCTGAAAACAATGGTAGGAAGCGAAGAACGTGCAGAACGTTGATGTTGCCATTGCTTTTTTTAAATGTGTCTCTGCCAATCCTGTGCATGTGCTGAGGCCTGTGTGGACCTTCCAGGCTGACCATGGGGATGTGGAAGACCTGGAGAACTTGCCAACTTTTCCTGCCACCAGGACGCTTGAAAACTTAACGTTTGCGCTGTGTTGCTGCCAGTTGCTTTGAGTTACTGTGAGTTGCTGCCCATCGCTATCCTGCGCTGTTTGGGCTTAGTTTCTATTCTATTGCAGAGAAACAGTCTTCCTGTGGCGGTGCTGTCATCCAATGACAATGGTTCAGACTTGGAAGTAGACTTGAGAAATTGAAGAGATCCGCCTTCGCAGAGGACAACTTTGCCGCTTGTGAGTGGGATCGTCGCTGTGATTCCTGAACTGGTTGCTAAGATTAAATTTTAACCGTTTGGCGGCCAATGGGAATTGAAAGGCTTTTGCAGTTGTTAAGCCACAATCTGTTCATTCATTGCATAACCGAACTGTTTGTTGGGTCAATTCTTCCTTTTCTTGTTGGAGATATGCCGGGTTTGTAAAATCCGCGCTTGCCTTCGGGGAAGACCCCAGCACTTGCTTGCGCAACCCCAATATTTTATAATATTTTGTTGGCTAAAGTTCCGCTAAAGCATCATAAATTGGTTTGTGATTTCCCACCCAAGCATCATTTGTGATATTCCTTCTTGTTTTTAAGCTACCCACCGCATGCTTTGTTGGGTTTCCTGCATCCCGAAAAAGATGAAGCATGACCACTATGTTTCAGCTATCATTCACTTTCTTCTATGTTTCTATTTTTCTATGTAGCAATCTATCTATCTATCTACCTATCTATCTATCTATCTGTCTATCTATCTATCGATCGATCTATCTATCTATCGATCGATCTATCGATCTATCGATCTATCTATCTACCTATCTATCTATCTATCTATCTATCTGACTATCTGACTATCTGACTATCTCACTATCTGACTATCTGACTATCTGACTATCTGACTATCTGACTATCTGGCTATCTGACTATCTGACTATCTGACTATCTGACTATCTGACTATCTGACTATCTATCTATCTATCTATCGATCTATCGATCTATCTATCTATCTATCTATCTATATATATATATATATCTATCTATCTCTTCCTGTCTATCTAACCCTATCTATCTATCTATCTATTTATCTATCTATCTATCTATCTGACTATCTGACTATCTGACTATCTGACTATCTGACTATCTGACTATCTGACTATCTGACTATCTGACTATCTGACTATCTGACTATCTGACTATCTCACTATCTATCTATCTGACTATCTGGCTATCTGACTATCTGACTATCTGACTATCTGACTATCTGACTATCTGACTATCTGACTATCTGACTATCTGACTATCTATCTATCTGACAATCTGACAATCTGACTGTCTGACTATCTCTCTATCTGGCTATCTCTCTATGTATCCATCGATGGATCTATCGATCTATCGATCTATAGATCTATTGGTCTATCGATCTATCGACCTATAGATCTATCGATCTATCGATCTATCCATCTAC